GTTTCCCGCAGCTCCCGCTTTGTTCCTGCTGAAATACTTGCTTCTCAAAGCTTATTAAACTGTCTGTAAAGCACCTTGACTTATTGTGATAATGACCTTTTATTATTTAATTAAGTGCTTTGTCAGGGTACCAGCATGCTAAAACCTCTACAAATAGAGGAAAAAAATGGTTCCTGCCTCAGAGCATTTGCAATCTAACATGTTACACAAATATACAAAATTGTGGTACTGAGCTTAGATGAACAGCTTACAAAGAAACCCCACCATTTAGAAATTGCTCGTGATGCTTTTCTCTCTTACAGGAAGGACTGAGTAGCTTTAGTAGAGTGAATTAAGCACTCTTGAAATACCTTGGCAGTATTTTCCTTTTCTGCCCTTCATTCTATCCGAGAATGCTCTGGAGGACCAATTTTACATCAATATCCTAAATCAACATGGTTGAAATTGGAAAGAAATTATATGTCCCATGTAGGGTTTAGCCTGTGAAGTGTAAATGAGCAAGTGTTGGATTAGATATTTACTCTTTCTCTAGGAAGGTCCCTAGTGAACCAAAAAAGGCATTATTTTTTTCTTAACCAAGGAGAATTCATCTGAGGATTAAAGCTTGTTATAACACAGTACCTCTTAAACTATCAATAGGCTGTAACCTGGGACATGGGGCATGGTATCATCCATCCAGTACATCCTTGGACTTGGTCAAACGAGAAGAAGAATGTCAGTTTGCTTTTATAAAATGTATGGGTAACAGGTAAATTTTTTTTTAATCAGTGCGGCAATTTGGGTCTCTAGCATTTGAAATTCTTAAAGTTGGAATATCTGCCACCTGGTGGTGAACTGTTTCTCCATATATACTGTGTATAAAACACAATTTACAATTTCAATATAAGCACAGTTTATAACTTCAGTAACACCAGTAGGCAGCTGGCACAAGATCCTCAGTTGTTCCATGGGCCTGCAGAGATCCTGTCACCTTGAGAGATCTTGCCCAGCATCTTAGCTGGGGCAGTATTCAGCTTAGAATATCTCCATTCAAATCAAAATGCATCGTCACTGATGGCAGTGTAGTGTGTTCACGTGTAAATGTGCCTGTTTTCTCTCACCTTGTGAATAGCACCTTGTTTTTAGATTAAAATAAGGTTAAAACAATTTTAACTACTAATTGTTTCAAAAGTTGAGAAAAATAAGAGCAACTCAATTATTGTTCTTTTCCTGTTCCTCTGCTTACAGGCAAATGTAAGCTGGCAGGTTCAGTGCTAACCTTATTCATATTATATATACATATATATATGATATATAGAATATATGATATGATTATATATCCTATATCATGAGATATATATACACACCCACACGATATTTTCATGATATCATGATATTTTCATGATATATGTCTGATATTTTCATTCCCAGGCTGCAAATCATTTGGAATTGGAGCTTCGGGTAGACAAGCAGGCATTAGCCAAGTGCCATTTTCAGACTAGAGGAGCATTTTTTTATGTTACTCATGTAATTCCAACTGATAAACTGACACCAGGTACTGTCTTCTATTTGACAGTAATAACAGAAAGAGGATCTAGTTCTTTTTAGCAGCAATCCTCTGGTATCCACAGATTATTAGCTTGCAAAATGTGGCGCCTGGTCTATTATCACTTAACTGAAGTGCTTTTTTATTGATGTGCTTTTCTTCTAGGAATAAATGGTGCCAGTTAGTACGTTTGATCATTAAATCTCTCTTCTGCCTTGGAAACTTACAGCCGCAGGGAAGGCAAATGTGATGACAATAGGGAGGTACAAATGAAATACTTGTTTACAGGTTTTTTTTGTAATTCTGGAGAGAAGGACTTTGTGTTCACATGGCTGGAGATACAGACTCCTGAATAAACCCAACTGAGGAATGGTCCTGCCAGTTTTGTATTATAAAGGTAGGAAATGGTGCTTGAAATACTGCTGTGGGGTGAGAAATCCCACTGCCAAAGGAATGGCTGGTCCTGCTGCAAGAGATGTTGGGCATCAAAGCTGGAAGAAATTACTTAAAAGGGCTCCTGTTACAAGCATTGGTTTTAAAGGGTTTTGGTGGTTTAGTGGTTGTAGGGAGTTTAAAAAAGCCTCAGGACTGTCTTCTCTCCAGCCCTCACCACACAAGCACGCTCCCAGCAGTGTTGGCCCCCAAGCTTCTCCTCTCCCTGGGTAGAAACCCATTATTGTCCTACTCTTACGCTGGAGCTTACAGCTCTGGCTGTGGCGTACGTGCCACAAGACACTTCAGGTAGATTCCCTACACATTTCTTCTGGAAGTTTTCCATCAATAAAGGAAGAGGCTGGAACCACATCTCAAACTCAGGAAAATCTGCATGAAAAGAAAGTAACACAGCCCACATGCTACCCTTACCTACATGCTTAGGGCAGGGCCTTTTTCCCGGTGTCCCCTGCCTCTGGAGATGAGAGGGGCTACGGGTCTTGGCTTCCCTCTCCCGTGTCTTCAGGGAATGCCCCATCTATAAACCCAACTCCCTGATTCCAGCTTCAGTCTTGCCATGCTGTGAGGCCAACATTGATGGGACATCCAATGTGACACTCCAATG